TCTAGTGAAGGTCAGGTCCATATGCCCGGGTCAATTCAAGCTTTTAATTCACAATTTTACAGTGTATTTTCTTTAGGGTCTTAGTTGCTTATTGGCTCTTGAAGCCAATTAAATATTTTTCCATTTTGTATATTCTTGATCGTTTTTTTTTTTTCCCACTTTGCTGTTTTGACGTACGTTAATTTGTTGCACGTACTAAACTTTTTTTAAAAGTACATACAAAAAAAAAAAAAATGATACTATGGTTTGATTTGAACTTTTATATCGTTTGCATAAAAAGGAACATCAACGAAACGGTAGTTACAATTTACATATTGTATGTTGTAATTATAAACTGTACACATGAAGAAAGAACCAAACCAAGTCAATTCATTTTTCAAAATCGAACCTATCTCAGCCCCCAAGATTAAATAATTACTAGAGTACTGGCTTGTTTTCTTCAGATGCGCCTAATAATTTTGGCCGTACGAAGAAAACCCTTGATTTAATTTTGTCTTATATTATAAATCCTTTTTGTTTCTGCTGTGATATTGCTCCACTCAATACGTTAATCATGGGTGGCCTGACCGTCGGTTCTTAGTCGGCTGCATTAGTTGAATTAATACTGTTCCAAGTTACAAACAATCAAATTATATAAATTGATGTACAATATTAATTGTAGATTGTGAACTAAACTCCCATAATCTGAATCGGTAAAACGACATGATTTTAAAAGCTTAATTATTGCTATGTACATATACATACACTACTACATAGGACTAATATTATTAAAGTTCTTGAAAGTTGATCTTTTTTTTTTGTAGTTAAATATTTTTTTTTTTGAAAAGATAATGTAGACTAAATAAGGTTGTATACTACATTATATACATAACGAAGATTCATAAAATATTGTATGTTATTTATTATCGCTTGCGTAATTAATTAATTGTTAGACAACCTGTCAGATATTAAACCATAGTTAATATCTAATTTTCATGAAAGATGGTCAAAACATAATTAGATTTCAATTGATACTATTAATTTAAAGAACTCTAAAAAAAAAAAGGAATTGAAGTAGGGACTCTATGATTCCCCAAAAAAAAAAAAAAAAAAAAAAAAGAGAGAACTCTATGGATAATTAAAAATGTTCAATATCTGTGTGAATCAAGTTAGAAACTAGTCAACAGCAGTTCGTTCGCATATCAATTACAGTTGTTGAACAATGTGAATTATTTCTGGATCTTGATATAAATAAATATATATATATATATATAGGTATATCTTTATACTTAAATATAAGGAGGAAGATTCATGTAACTGTGAGTGCCTCACATTGGACTTGATATATATACACACACATACACATACACATGTATATACAGATATATATTTATACTTACATATGAGGAGGAAATTAAATCTGATTAAAAGATTCTGAGGACGTTATATACAAATGATTTGTGTCATTGTGTGTGTGAATTGTGGTCTAAAGTTGAGATCATTGAGTCACCCAGACAAACATATACTTCCAATAATTAACAGGCAATGAAAAGAAAGATTAATTACAAAAAATTATTTGCAATATATATTTGAAACCTTCTTCACAACTAATCGAAACAATATTCACGAAACGCCACCTAGCTACATCCTTATATTATAATTCTGAGCTGCTAGGCAGACACTGAAGACAGGATGTCAAACATTCACAAGTGATAATTGCCTTGTCCATGGCTGGAACTCTATGTAATGTAGTCCATAGATATTGGTATTTTTATCTCCCCTCAAAATCACTTCTATATAATATTATTGTGTTTCTGATATGGTTATTGTATAATCAATTAAGAAATTTTATATATATTGACCATTCTTAATTTCCTCTCCAATTTTAATGACATATAGTCGTTTTGTTAGAGATGAAATATTAGCGTAGGCTTTGAAAAACTATATATAGACACTACAACAATAAAGGCTTTCTGCGAGGATGAGCTTTGTCCTTGCAAAAAACTTTATGCGAGGAGAATCTGTGAGGACACAAATCCTCGCCGTATCCTCCTCGCAGAAGACTTTCTGCGAGGATAAAAGCTGGTCCTCGCGGAATAATTGATGCTTTTCCAATGACACTAGAAATCTGATGACGTGGCAAAAATGGGGACGGGCAGGTTTTCTGTGAGGACATTGTCCTCGTAGATTGTGTTATTTTAATATTAAAATTATTTTTAAAAAAAATTTAAAAATTATATTTGATAAATAATTTTTTTTGATTCATTTTAAAAATAATATAAATTAAAAATTTTTTGTCTCAAATTAAAATTAATTAAAATATCATTATTAAATATTAACATAAACATTAATATTGTTTGTCACACAACTAGCGTTAATATTGTTATACATAACTAATAGTTGGAAATTTAATATATATAATCTGATGATAGAAAATACTAAAGTTCAATCCTAGGTTAGTTGTGGCGTCATATTCATCATTTGGTACTTGGAGGAGGTTAGGAATGTGCTGCTTGAGGGAGATAAACATCTTGGACATCTGCTCCATAAAGGCCTGCGGCTGTCTGACATAATTATTAAACTCCTGAGTTGGCACAGATGGTTGTGGATGTTGACGCCGAGAGCTAGCAGAAGTTGAATTGAGTTGAAGTCCGGCGCCTTTTAAGAACCTTCGTTTCGTCCGCATTACCTCAGTGACAATCTCTGATTCAGTCTTCCCAGATGTAATATCCGATCAGTTGAACCAGATGATGAGGCATATGAAGCAGATTGGGTAGACTTAATGTGAATCATCTCCTCCTAAAAATTTTAATAAGTAATGAAGACATTTAATAATATTAAAGTCAATTGAAAACTTGAAATTGAGAGTGAAAAATATAGTTACATATTTGTCCTTAGCAAGTGGAGTGACCCATTCTCCCATTTAACAATATTATCGTTTCGTTTACGCATAAATCTCGGCAGCATTTCCCCTTAATTCTCATAATCTAAATACCTAAAATCAAAACACAATAGGAAATTTCTTCAAAATATAATATCAATGGTTATCCACAAATCAATACTAAATTACACAAACAATATCTTACACTAAATAATAAAATATAAATAATAACATAAACAAAATTTAAATCATACCTAAAAATGAGGAGAAATTCGGATTTCCTCTTTACCACCTAAAAAACCAATATCCAACTACGCAATTTAGAACAATAAAAATGAACAAAATGCATATAAAAACACAAAATATAACTCAATAAATTGTCTAAACTTACCTTGAGAGGTACTGTGAGAGCAATAGAGAATTTGAACTTCAAAAAAATAGAGAATAAAAGGAGATTACAAGGTTTGAAAATGAACACAATACAAAAAAAAAAAAAAAAAAAAAAAAAAAAAAAAAAAAAAAAAAAAAAAAAAAAAAAAACCTCCTTTTTATGGTCGGATATAGAGCAAACGAAGGGAGAGAGGAGAGAGTTGAAGAAATGAGAGAGAAGGAAGAAAGATGTTCTGTTTTGAACATATTAGGGCCTCTCGCAAAGATTTTCGGATATTGTCGAAGTGAATTTTCTCTGATATAGCAGAGAAAGAAAGATGAACGAAGAAGGAGAAAGTCTGAGCAAATATGTTCTGCTTTGAACATATTAGGGCATTCCGCGAGGACAAGTGTCCTCGCAGAAGGCGTTACAGCAGTGAAACGATATCGTTTCACTACTGCAAACTTAAGATAAGGCGGGACAAGGGCCTGGCCTTTTTTCACGGGATTCGGCGAGGACGTTTGTCCTCGCTGAATAACGGTCGCACCCTCCCTGGTGTGACTTTGACAGACTGAAGCGGTCAAGAGTGGCAGAGATTCCTGACCTAAACACTCTTCTGCGAGGACAATGTCCTCGCAGAAGAGTAATCAACCCTGCACGAAACTATTCCGTGCAGGGGCCGTGAAATTGTTAGGGTTCTACGAGGACATAGTCTTCACAGAACCCTTGACCCCTTTTCTGTGAGGACAAGGTCCTATCCTCGTTGAATGCATGGCTAACGGCGAGGACTATGTGTCCTCGCCATTTTAGTCCTTGCAAAAAGGATTTTTTTTTTTTTTTTTGTAGTGTGAACCAAAATGGATTATTAAAAACGGTTCCCTCGTCGTGAAAGAAGTAATGAAAGGGTCAAACCGCCTTTGTTGTTGCCTGTATAGCTTTCTAGAGCAGAGATCTAGAAACGCATTCTAGGCACAGATCATTGGTATTGGATGAATCGTTAGGTTGTGCCGAGTCAAATCTGCTCCGTTTTTTTCCGTTGCAGAAAAGAGATCCCTTCCCCGCGCTTAAAAAAATGATGAATATGAAGTCCGTGGGGCTGCAGGTACTATGGATCCTCTGACTCCCAATCGGGTTGCCTTATATAGACTTTGGATCGATCCAAGTTGAGATGTCCTGTGGCTGGAGAGATTTTAATTTTCTCCTTTAAATTTAGAAAGGGGATTCATCTCTCACTCATGAGGATCAATTTCATGTCACTATCATTGACCGTTTGGCCTTTTTTTTTTTTCACGCATGTGGATAAAAATCAAATGCATGCATGACAGTTGCTAAACTAGGACCCTCTTTACTAATTGCTAAAACAATAGTACTAAAAGTCATGTACTCATGTAGGGGACAAGCTAGAAAAGTACAAAGTGCAATATATCAACGGAGGAGACAAATAGAGAAAATTAACCCCACGCTTTTATAAACTAGTCATGACAATATATATATATATATCATCCTTTTGAGCTATAATAATAATAATAAGCCTCTTTCTCTTTTGATAGATTCTCAACTACCGCCTTTAGTTTTCACATATATTCAAAGTAAAGCAGTAGTTGTCAACTTTATATATATCTCTTAATTTTCTCTCTATCTTATAGCTATATATATTTATATGTCTACCACTACAAATCCAAATACTATATAACTTGCCATAAAAAAATCTGTATTTATAAACAAATATCTCTTACCATAATTATCTCAGGTTTATCTGGGCTTTTGTCAATGGAGGAAGCTGATCATGATCATCAATACTTGATGTGGATGCAGAAAAGGAAAGAGATCATGATGATGAACTCAATCAACGGCTCATCATTATCATCATCATCATGGGAAGAAAAGGCTTTTTCGGAAGATCTCGTGGCCGGAGCCGGGTCTCTGGGGGGTTGCGTCTGGCCTCCGAGATCTTACACTTGTAGCTTCTGTATGAGAGAGTTCAAATCAGCTCAAGCCCTAGGGGGTCACATGAATATCCACAGGAGAGATAGAGCAAGGCTTAAGCAATATTATTGCCTCACAAGCATCCCCAACAGTACCGAAATCTCTGATGATCATGATCATATTAATCATGACCGTGATCATCATAGTTCTAGTACTATTACTACTAATATTTCAAGATTTCTTTCACCTAAGTATGGTTCTAGGGTTTCAACTACTAATTTTTCAAATCATCACGATGATCACTTCTCAACCAAAGGGGTCATGTTGGATTTGGAAAAGAATTCAAGGAAATTATTTGAAGATAGCTCTGTGGAAACGGATTTGTGTGTGGGATTGAATATTTCGGTTGTCGGCCGGAACAACATCGGACCGATAATTTCTTCTTCTTCATCATCAATATCTTCAACACCAACTGGCCGGTTCTCTTGGGATCAACGTGAAAATGAGACAGGCAATTATAAGAAACCAAAGTTGATGTCGTTTTTGTTGAAGCCGTGTCGTCTTCAATCTAATCAGGTAATTCATGAAGTCAGAACTGATCAAGCTGCAGGTAATTCTATGGATGATTTGGATCTTGAGCTTAGGCTTGGTTAACCTCCAAAAGTGAAATAGTTTGCCACAAATTATTGTACGTCTCTTAATTAATTAGCTAGAAGTAGAAATTAGAGAAATAACTAGTGTCTCTGATTTCTTTTTTAACGTTCCAATATCTCCTACATCTGATCTCACAACAAACTTGAGATATCATGTATGCTGATACCAAAGTTTATTTTTAAATATTTAAAAAGTAGCTTATTTTATTTTATTTTTTTTCCTCTTAGTTCTTCATTCACTAATTATACCTCAATATATGTGTGTGTATCTTCATATGCATTACATTTCTTCAGCTTAATATATGTGTGTGTTTCCAAATTTCTTGTTACATGTTTATATATATAGCTCTTTAATTAAATTATTTGAAGAGGTGATCAATCTTTTTGACGCTTCAAGATGAAATTAAAGATATTCTAGCAAAAAAGAAAAAGAAATAAAATACAAAATATTTCTGATTTAATATAATAATCCGATCAGATGATCCGGGTGGAAAACGTTATTCTGATTAAAAAGTCATTAGTTACTTGTACGGAATTTTACTCTTCTTCTACACGGTATAGATTGTACCATGAAGTACTATTCAACTGATAGTTCAGATTTTTTTTTTATAATTAATTGTCCGTTCAGAATGATTAAGGTCTCGTTCATTTTATCGATTCGAGTTTTTAATTCGAAATTTTTATAATAAAAAATTCTTAAAAAATATCATATCTAATTTTTTTTGCTACAATAAAAAACTCTAAAAAAATATTACATCTCAATTTGAATTAAAAATTTAAATTTACAAAGTGAATGGGTCCAAGAAATTGATGTTTCGAGTAAGAGAGAAAATTTTTTTACTGTTTGGCTTTCGCTGGGGATAAATAAAGACTGACAACTGATGTTAAAAAGTCACTTCAGCTATAATATCTGAAAAGGACTAACTAAATAGTGGGCGATCTGGGGACACATATATTGCATGCATCCCTTGTCACCTCACATTTATTTATTAACGTCTCCAAATTCTATTGTATGCTCATTTTCCCTCTTCGATCCCCCTAAAAGTTTCCTAAGGAGATTTTGTTTAAGGTAAAAAAAAATGTGAACTACTATAGTAAATACTTTTTAATATTAAAATTTAGTCGAATATAATGTGAATTTTTGAGGCCGTTTAAAAAATATTTTTTTAAACATATGTCTCATATTACATTCCTAATTTACTACCCACTTAAGAAGGTAGATTGACAAGACTCATCGCCGTTTAGCCAAAGGGTCAGAGTGGTTCGAGTCACGACCTCATAAGTTGGTATGGTGTCACACCTATGATAGGTATTAATGGATTTATAAATATATGAAATACATGCACCAGTCTCTACCTCTAAATGATCTAATTTATTTCATTAAAAGAAGACCAAAATTCCAAAACCATTCTATAAGAAAATTTATCATTGCTCTTTCTCTCCATCTTATATCCTGTTTATATCCTTCCAAACAGGCCACATTCAACGACTCCCGGAATCTAATTGAATAAAATACTTAAGCCATAAAACAATTTAATATATATTGACACTGAACCAAACAAAACTTGCTTATCATTAATTGGCACTGTCTACGCGTCCTTTTGTTTGTAACTTTTAGATACCAACATTGATATGTACGTATACACTGTGTAGCATATATATATATATACACACACGTATATATATACACATATAAAGCTATTACAAACACAATTAAACCACCACTACCAACCCTATATAAAGCCTATATATATAAGCTTAGGAATCTCTCCTGCTTATAGTAATTGGGGGAAATGTGACTGTTCGTCCAGAATACACGACACGGGTAGGTCATGATCTAGGAACCTCAAAGATGAAACATCATTTTTTACTTTTAATGTACTTTGCAGAGAGAAATTAAGAAAGAGCTACAGAAGAGAGAAGAGAGGCCTATGTAAAAATAACTCTTTTGAAAAGTTTTATTAGTAAAATAAGTTCTTAAAAATTTTTATTTGTAAAATGATTTCTTTTTATAAAAAATGAGTGAATGTCTTTCTTCATAAAAAATAAAAGAAGATCATTTTACTAATTTCACTTTGTTAGATAATCATTTTAGCATATTACCCTACAGGAAGAGAGTTAATTTATAATGTAACCAAAGTAAAACATTCCCTTTATGGGAAGTTCTATAAGGATTCATTATGTATATGCATTTAGCTAATCGATGGTTATTACTTTGGTTTCTACAAACTAGCTGTTTTTGCGTAAGCAGAATTTATGGAGAGGATTTAGGTTCAAGTTTTTGTTTTTTTGTTTTTTTTGTTGTAATAGTGCCTTGGGGATGGGGCCTACGTAGAGCAATGTTTGGGGTGGTGGGTAAAGTAATAAACAGATTTGGGTTTGATTTGTGTTTTCTTTGCATAACAGACACAAGTCAGACTCCAGGGAGGTGTCTGATCAGCTCGATTTGTGTGTGAGTGAGATGTGTAGTGTGGCAGATAAGAAGCCAGAGACGCACATGGTCTGGCTATTGGCCACGATTTGTGTGTTAATTCTGTTTCGAAAAATGCTTAAAGAAGCACTAAACATCATCACTAATAAAATGTAATTGCTACTTATAAATATCGTACTGAAAATCTGTTTTTATTAGTCGACCGTACTTAGCACCACTTCGTTTTATTGGGAATTCATGGTAAGAGCACGGGGGAAAGGACCAGCTAGGGAGGGAGTCATTTTGGAGGAGGAAAATCTGGTATATATCAAGAGGAAACTAAACATAGGAACAATTAATTTAAAACAAAAAAGCAAAAAAAAAAAAGGAGGTATCATGTTAGGAAGTATTGGTTGTGTCGCACACTAATTAAAAAATATCTTATAAAATTTACAGTAAAATTCACTTTTTATTAGTTGCAAATTACTTAATACCAACGCACTACAACAATAAAGGCCATTTACGATGACAAATGTCGTCGTAAATAATACAATATTTGTGACGACATGTCGTCGCAATCAATCCCCGTTATATAAAGTAATAATGTCGTCGCTAATAACTTAAATGTCGTCGCAAATAATTTTGGAGCGCAAATTTCAATGACGTGGATTTTTAGCGCGAAGGTAATCCATTTTTTGCCATGAGAAGTCGTCGCAAATAGTAAGATATTTGCGACGACAACTGTCATTGCAAATAGTTTCAGGTTATTTACGACGACATTGTCTCTTTGTCGTCGCAAATAATCTTTTTAAGATTTCACGCAAAATATACACAGAAAAAATGATCATTTGCGACAACTCAAAAATTATTTACGACGAGATAATGTCGTCGCAAATAATTGACAGCTATTATGTATTTGCGACGACATTTTAAAATTTATTTGCGACGACAATGTCGTCGCAAATAAGCCTGACCTAATATACCCTATCTTCTTCTTCTTTATTTTCTCCCGACGCTTTCTCTCTCTCTCCTGTAAAATCTCTCTCTCTCTGCCTCATCTTCCCGCCGCCGCCCCCGCCCCGTTCCGCTCCTGCCGCCCCGCCCCCGCCAGGATTTCAAAGAGGTGGGGTTTCTCCTTTTTTTTTCTTTTTGTAATTTTTGTTTGGTTGCCGAGAAAATGGAAAATATTGAATCAAACGTGCACGTCCGAGAAAATTTTATTGCTCTTATTTTGCTTATCGAGTATGTGTTTGGATTGAGTTACGAGAATTTTGATGCGCTAGGAGTTGAATATTGGGGATTTTGTTTGGGAATTTTATTCGAGTTTAGTCATTTTTTATGGTTCCTAGAATGTGAAAATTTAAACTTGCATTGATTAATCAATATTGTGTCTATATGTTACTCTAGATGTTAATAAAATGTTAATTTTGGTGTTTAAAAATTATGTTCGATGTTTCAATTTGATGTAGGCGTTTGATTTTTCACCTTCGTCGCTGTTTGCATGGTTCCTCCGATGCAATCCTGCTATTTTCAGCCCCCATTTAGTGGGTTTGAACTTTGTAAGTTTTTTATATTTATTGTACTTTTAGTTTAAAATTGTTATCGTTTTTGGTTGTATGAATTCGGGATTATGATGATAATATTTGAATTATGATTTTCTTATATTGTTGAAATTTAGTATATGTTTATGATTCTTGTTCTGTGTGGCATATCTTGCAGCTATGGTGTGCCAAAATCTTTTAAAGTTGTTTTTCTGCAAGTTTAGATTTTTGGATCATAAGAAAAATAAGCCGTTATGTTGCCAAAATTTAGTTAGAAAACGAGAATTTTATTAAGTTCATTAACAAACTTTAATTAATAAAATTTAATTGTGTTAATAAAGAGTAAAATTAAAATTAATTAAATACATTAATAAATTGTTATGTCTGTTGTTGTGTATAGTTGAAATGCCAATTGACAAAAGTTAGATTTATTTGAGAAACCGATTGTCGGATCAATATTGGAATGGGTTATCTGCTTTTATTGAGGTCGCCAAAAATTATGAAACTTCAAGTGGCCATATCAGCTATCCTTGTGTAAAATGTAGAAACCATGAAATGCATCTAGTAGAAACTGTGAGAGTGCATATACATCGATTTGGTTTTGATCCATTGTATAGTACATGGATTCACCATGGTGAAGTAGAAGCGGTTTCAGGTGTCGACCCAATAGTTAATCAACCAGTAGACGAGATGTTTGCAGTCTTACAAGACGTTGCTGGGATTAATGATGACCATGAAATGTTGGATGAGACGCATGTGGATGAGAAGATGCACAGTACGCTGAATTTAAGGATCTACTTTCTGAGCTCCAGGTGGAATTGTATCCGGGCTGCACTAAGTATTCATCTTTAAATTTCTTAGTGAAATTGATGCATTTAAAAGTGTTATACAAGTGGCCTAATGAGTGTATGGATGCTCTGTTAAATCTATTGAAAGATGCATTCCCGGATGTGAGGTTACCTTCTTCTCATTATGAGTCGAAGAAGCTTATGAGTAAACTTGAACTGGGTTACGAAACAATTCATGTCTGCAAGTACGATTGTGCTTTGT